CCCCACACACATCCACTTTCCTGCTAACTATATATTAGAAACAACATTTACCTGTCATCCAGCCCGATAGACAACAGACCACATCCAATGTTCTCAATGGCAGCATCTGTCCGTGTACAGCCACACTCTCCTTTCCCCAAAAGGCGCATTGGCAGGATATTTGTTGTGTCAGAAGGCTCTGTAATATTATTTAAATTCAAACTCAGATGAAAAAAAAAATATTTGAAATATATTATAAAAATATTCTTCCCAAATATATTGACATATATTTGCACCTCTCACGCCTGACTGCAGATCTTCTCCAGGACCTCCCCCATCCTCTGGAACTCACTACCCCAATCCATCAGACTGTCACCTACCCTCTTCACCTTTAGGCGCACCCTGAAAACCCATCTCTTCAGGGAAGCCTACCCCCACCCTCACCTAACAGCCGATCTCCTCCACTCCTCCTACCACTCCATCCCCCACAGCCACTTCCTCCTGTACCATGTAATCTGAGACCTGAGTAGAGAGAATGCACATCCCCGTATCTACAAAATCTCATATGGAAAGGTGCACAGATGAGGCTCACTGCAGTTCTCAGAAGCAATCATTTCAGGAGCAGTAACCCCCAAAAACCCCAAACCCCAAAAAATATTCTTGCTCAGCTGACCTTTGCATGCCTAAAAAAACCTAATAAAGTAAATTGATTGGGTTAATTATCTGGTATGTAAAATAAGATGATAAATACTGAAGTATGAACCCTCGTATGGTGACTTATTTTCTATACAAAGCACTTGACATGTGAACAGAGTGTAATCATTTTATATTTAAAACAACACACACAGGTACTCTTGATGCTCCAGATTACAGAGTCCCAAAAAAGGAAGATGATCCTGGGACCTCAGACAATGGGAATAATCCAGGGATATTGATCGGCAATAGACATTGGTGAGAGATGTTTATAATCATTGATCAAACAGGAGATGGAGAGATACAAAGTAACATTGTTTATAAAACATGGATCAGATGGGAGATAGAGAGATACAAAGTAACATTGTTTATAAACATGGATCAGATGGGAGATAGAGAGATACAAAGTAACATTGTTTATAAACATCGATCAGACGGGAGATGGAGAGATACAAAGTAACATTGTTTATAAAAACATCGATCAGAAGGGAGATATAGAGATACAAAGTAACATTGTTTATAAATATTGATCAGAAGGAAGATAGAGAGTGTCAAAGTAGCATTATTTATAAATATTGATCAAACAGGAAATAGAGATATACAAAGTAACTTTGTTTATGAACATCGATCAGACGGGAGATAGAGAGATACAAAGTAACATTGTGTTTATAAATATTGATCAAACAGGAGAAACCCATGCCATGAAGCTCTCTACGCACTGTTGTTGGGCTCATCTGAAGGCCACACCAAGTTTGGAGGTCTTTAGCTATTGACTCTGCAGACAGTTGGCGACTTCTGCGCACTGTGCGCTAGAGCATGCACTGACCCCGCCCTGTCATGTGACGTGGCCTACCACTTGGTGGCTGAGTGGCTGTTGTTCCCAGTTGCTTCCACTTTGTTATAATCCCACTAACAGTTGAGCGTGGAATATTTAGTAGCCAGGAAATGTCATGGATGGACTTATTGCCCAGGTGGCCACCTATCACGGGACCACGCTTGGAGTCACTGAGCTCCTGAGAGCGACCCATTCTTTCACCAATGTTTGTAGAAGCCGTCTGCATGCCTAGGGGCTTGATTGTATACACCTGTGTCCATGGAGGGGATTGGAACACCTGAATCACATGATGTGGAGGGCGGGGACAATACTTTTGGCAATATAGTGTATGTACAAAAACTATTATACATTCAGGAAAAACAAATATAACCCCAAAGTAAGCTGTCTCTCTTGTCCCATCAATACACTTATTGCAGGATTCGCATAGATCCAATCCTTCCTTTAGAGGATTAGAACTCTCTGCAGATTCCAAGCTAAAGGTGGTCTCTTTTTTTTTTTCAGAGACTGAGTCAGCTGACAGCGCCATAGCAGACATTGCAGGAAGCCAAGGGATGAGCGAAAGGCAACAAGCTCAAGGTATGTTCCCATCATACAGCATGGGGCAAATGTGCATCATACAGCATGGGGCAAATGTGCATCATACAGCATGGGGCAAATGTGCATCATACATCATGGGGCAAATGTGCATCATACATCATGGGGCAAATGTGCATCTTACAGCATGGGGCAAATGTGCATCATACATCATGGGGCAAATGTGCATCATACATCATGGGGAAAATGTGCATCATACATCATGGGGCAAATGTGCATCATACATCATGGGGCAAATGTGCATCATACAGCATGGGGCAAGTGTGCATCATACAGCATGGGGCAAATGTGCATCATACAGCATGGGGTAAATGTGCATCATACAGCATGGGGCAAATGTGCATCATACAGCATGGGGCAAATGTGCATCATACATCATGGGGCAAATGTGCATCATACATCATGGGGCAAATGTGCATCATACAGCATGGGGCAAATGTGCATCATACAGCATGGGGAAAATGTGCATCATACATCATGGGGCAAATGTGCATCATACATCATGGGGCAAATGTGCATCATACAGCATGGGGCAAATGTGCATCATACATCATGGGGCAAATGTGCATCATACATCATGGGGCAAATGTGCATCATACATCATGGGGAAAATGTGCTTCAAACTAAGTATGTCAAGTTTCTCTACAACATAAACCCAAGGACTCTGCTCGCCATATTCTGTATGGTTGTACCATCCTGTTGGGGCACATAGAGGGACCCATCCATGCATTTCACTCCTGCTGCCACTGAATGCCTGCAGGAGGGAAAGGAGGAGAAGCCATCATTCAGTGGCTGCAGGAGATAAATGCATGGATGGGTTCCTCTATGTGACAGCTAGCCGCCCCTCCTATCCAGGCAGCCCTGGCCCAACGGGCTAAACCCCAGTGTGCCCTTTGGCCAGTCCCGGCCTTCGTTCTATTGAACAATTCATTGCGCTGGAAGAAATGAAAATTTCTGTAGCGCATAGATACTGTATGAAAATTCCCAACTAAGACACTGAAAGAGGAAATTCTGGAAATGTCCTAAATTAGTATCATTCTCAATTTTGTTTTGATATTTTAGATCCCACATTACAACTGCCTCCAGTTCACTTCGTCCCTAAAGAAACACATCCAAATGGACAAGAGATGTAAACTTGGAGCGGGCAGCTTTGGGACGGTGTACAGAGGATCTTATCAAGGCACGGCTGCCGCTGTTAAAATATTGGATCTTAGCGATGAGGACCTCAGAGATATAATCCATGAAATCCAAGTCAGCATGTACGGTTTATATTCTATAAAAAGTGTTCCCTTATTCTCTGAATGGCTCATTCAGGATGATGTGTTTTATAGCATTAATTATGTGGTTAATGTCAGCCTTTCCCAAACTTTTCAACATGGAGGAACCCTTGAAATAACTGTCCGGTCTCAGGGAACCCCGGCTAAAAATGACTATATCTACACCTCATGATACATTAGTGTGGGGGTCGGTGGGAAGAATGCTCCTCACACTTGTGGTCATTGGGAAGAATTACTCCCTTACAGATAGCTAAACAGATCATTGGTGTCAGTGGGGACTTCTCTGAGAGGCAGAAATTGCTCATTGCTCAAGGAACCCCTAGCAACCTCTGGAGGAACCATGATTGAGAAACCCTGGCTTAGGTCGTGTTTTATAACATTTAGTTGTAATATTTATTAACAAACATGAGACGTGATAGTATTGAATTTTTCAACTGTAAAACGACAAAAGTGATGGGCTGGACTGAAATTTGATGGAGGATCCAGTTATCTAAAGCAGGTCTGTGTGTCCCTCCATGGATATGCCTCCCCAGACCATCACTGACCCACCACCATAACGGTCATGCTGAACGATGTTACAGGCAGCAGAACGTTCTCCACGGCTTCTCCAGACCCTTTCATGTCTGTTACATGTGCTCAGGGGGAACCTGCTCTCATCTGTGAAAAGCACAGGGCGCCAGTGGTGGACCTGCCCATTCTGGGGTTCAATGGCCAATGCCAGTTGTTTGTGTGTGCTTTGTTTGTGGGTTGTGTGCCGTTTGTGGATGCTTTGTTTGTACGTATTCTCTGTGTGCGTCCTCTTTGTGCATGTTTTGGATTTTCACTGTGTGACCTCTTCAGCACTGCACACTGAACCCTCATAGACTTGAATGGGAATGAGACCGAAGCCACTTGGAGGTACGGCTCCATTCAAGTCTATGGAGGACACCATGCAGGTGTGGCCTGGAGCTGAAGGAGATTTTACCTGCTGGAGGTAAATGGCCGGAATGGCAAGGTAAAGAAGCAACTGGTTGGGAATTTTTAGGGTGAGCTTAGTTAAGGTTAAACCCACAACAGTACAATCAGTCTGTAGATGCAGTAAAGCATGCTTGTTATACTGTGGAACCCAAGGGGTTAATCCTCTGCATTGTGTAAAAAGGCTGTTTGATCCTGTCTTCTCTGATCCTCCCCTTTTTTCATGTTCCCCATTTCATCTCCTGATAGAACAGAGGCTCAGGGACACTCTGCACATGCTCAGTTTGGTGGGCATTGCTAGAGTTTTTTTGTTTTCTTGGGAGAGTGCATGTGATCAGCACAGGGCCAATCAGCACTGTCCAGACAGAGGTCAGGGGTTCTGCATCCTCCTATAGCAGAAAGAAAACTCCTTCTACAAGCTTTAACTAATGCTCTGCTGGACACTGATAGAAGTCACAAGACTGCTATATACTGCTGATGAGAAAAAAGATTTAGCAGTTTATATTTACTAAAATAATTGCATTTCCATGTTCTGTGTACTGTGGGGGACCAGATATAGTGAATGCAGGGTCCAGGGAGAGCGTATATAATGAATGCGGGGTCCGGGGAGAGCGGATATAGTGAATGCGGGGTCCGGGAGAGCGGATATAGTGAATGCAGGGTCCGGGGAGAGCAGATATAGTGAATGCGGGGTCCAGGGAGAGCGTATATAATGAATGCGGGGTCCGGGGAGAGCGGATATAGTGAATGCGGGGTCCAGGGGAGAGCGTATATAATAAATGCGGGGTCCGGGGAGAGCGGATATAGTGAATGCGGGGTCCGGGGAGAGAGAGTGGATATAGTGAATGCGGGATCCGGGGAGAGCGGATATAGCGAATGCGGGGTCCGGGGTCCGGGGAGAGCGGATATAGCGAATGCGGGGTCCGGGGAGAGCGGATATAGCGAATGCGGGGTCCGGGGAGAGCGGATATAGCGAATGCGGGGTCCGGGGAGAGCGGATATAGCGAATGTAGGATCCGGGGTTTAGGAACACTTTAAATTTAGATTAACCAGACAGAGGTTCTAGTCTTTCTTTGGTTTGATGGTGCGTTATTTTTCTGAATAGGAGACTCCATCACCCCCATATTGTGAAGCTCATGGCAGCAGCCAAAAACAGACGAATATATGCTGCTGGCAACAGAATATATCCACGGAGCCAACCTGAATAGTATTCTTCACACACCTCCTCCTGCCCTGTAAAAGTAAGTACCTCCAGAGGCCTGAACATAGGTGTGTCAGACCAGAATAACAATTGCCCCAAATTTTCTCTAATACTTTTGATTTTTATTTAAGGGTTTTCATTGGTTTCATAACATATGTATTGTCTTTTACAGCTGTCTGGGGATGATAAAATATATGTTGGCCTAGAGGTATTGTTGGCCGTGGAATACATTCATTCCCAGAATATCATTCATCAGGACATCAAACCTGTCAATATTCTAGTAAGTCGTTGTTCCTTGTCTATCTTTTTGTCATTTAAAGGGCAAGTGTAATGAAGACACACGGAGACTCCCAATGATGGCTTCTCTAAAAAAAATTCTGGTTTTCTGGCTGTCATGTAGAGCCAATGGAATCAGAAATTGCTAAATGATTGTCTTCAGACAAGCTTGTTGATAAATATTTTGTGTGAACGATGTTGATTTGCATGATTGTTTCGGGTCATTATCCGAAATTATGAAAGCCATAGATGGCCAGGCTACTAGTTTTCTCAGAAAGTCAACATTGGCAGCTTCCATATTTCTCTAAATACATCTTCTTTTATAGGCTAGACTCATCCACCTCACCACCCGCTCCACCTCTGCCACCCTCCTCTGCCTCTCCCTCCACTGGCTCCCGATTGCCCAACGCATCAAATTTAAACTCCTAACCCTGACCTACAAAGCCGTTCACAACACTGCCCCTGACTACCTCACCAACCTGATCCCCAAGTACCACCCTACCCTTCGCTCCTCACAGGACCTCCTTCTATCCTGCTCCCTGGTCTCCTCCTCCCATGCACGACTGCAAGACTTCTCCAGGTCCTCCCCTATCCTCTGGAACTCACTGCCCCAATCCATCCGACTGTCGCCTTCCCTCCCCACATTCAGGCGCTCCCTCAAAACCCATCTCTTCAGGGAAGCCTACCCCACCCTCACCTAACGGCCATTCTCCCTCATTCCTCCCACCACTTCATTCCCCTCAGCCACTTCCTACTGTACCACTACCCCCTCCCTCCTAGATTGTAAGCTTGAAAGAGTAGGGCCCTCTTACCCCTTGTACGCTGTCTGTTTTTGTTGTACTGTGCCATGTATTGTCCCCCCCTCTATTGTACAGCGCTGAGCAAACCCCTTGGCGCTATATAAACTCGATGTAATAATAATAATTCAGTACTAGCAGATGTGGATATGTCTTCTAACAGGTGGAAGGAAAGACAAAGAAAACCTTCCTAACGGACTGGGGAATGGCCAACATTCGAGAAGCCATCAGTTCAAAAATGGACAAGTCAACTAAAATTGGACCAATTGGAGGGACACTTTTGTATAAGGCCCCCGAATGTGTCTTAGAAGATCACATACCACCAACCAAAATGTCCGACGTTTGGTCTGTTGGAGTAACATTTCTTGAACTGTTTACTCAGAAAAAAGCCCTGGACAAAGACCAATGTAATGATGAAGAAAATGTTTAACAATGAACCACCCCAGTCATTGGCTGCATTGAGCAAGAAACTGCAACCCATTGTCAAAGCATGCTTTTCTTATGAACCAAAAGAACGACCTACTGCTTCTGGAATGGTCTCTGCAATTAAAAGGATGGAAGGGGTTGATCTTGTAAAACACTATGGCTACACGTTCTGATGGGGTTACCTCTCACTGTGATGTCTAATAAACCATTGAATCCCACATGACATATATATATATATATATATATATATATATATATATATATACATACATACATACACACACACGCACACATACATACATACACACATTGCAAAGGAACAACAGCCAACTCCGCTTTTGGTTTTAGATATCGGTACGGATCTTTCAGAAATCTGCTTTGCATTAACATTACAGTCCATGATCAAGGAGTAATCTGGAAATTTACCTTCCTATGGAGAACATAGCAACTCACAGCTCTATCTCTCTGGATTGAGTAATATTTTCTCCAAATAAGGGAGAGGTATGATGCTAGAGTTTCAAAAATGTCAGGTGACAGTTGAGTGGGGGTGAGACTGAGGAACAAGGAGGAGCTGCTAACTTTTCTTGAAGAAAATAAAAGGACATCATCCTTAAAAATGTAGAGGGGGAAACGTTTGCTTCCTCCATCTGGTGGGAGCATGATGATATATTCCATGTTCACCCAGGAGCCTGTCACTCTGGATCTGAAGATATAGTTTTAGGTCTAAGGAGCTCCTAACCATGCTAGCTGAGTTGTGGGACTTACGCTCCCCAACCACTTTATTAAGTCCACCTGTTCAATTGCTTGGTAACACAAATTGCAAATCAGCCAATCACATGGAAGCAACTCAATGCATTAAGGCATCTAGACCCGGCGAAGATAACTTGCTGAAGTTCAAACTGAGCATCAAAATGGGGAAGAAAGGGAATTTTAGTGACTTTGAGCATGGATATTGGAACAGGATAATGCACCAAGTCACAAAGCTCAATTCATCACAAACTAGTTTCTTGAACATGACAATGAGTTCACTGTATTCCAATGGTCTCCACAATCACCAGATCCCAATCCCTGGTGGAACGGGAGAGCACCTTTGGCATGTGGTGGAATGGGAGATTTGCATCATGGATTTGCAGCCACAAATATGCAGCAACTGCGTGATGCTATCATGTCAATATGGACCAAAATCTCTGAGGAATGTTTCCAACACCTTGTTGAATCTATGCCACGAAGAATGAAGGCAAAAGGGAGGTCCAACCCGGGACTAGCAAGGTTGACCTAATTATGTGGCCGGTAAATGTCGATATCTAGAATGTGGAAGAAGAGAAAAAGAAGAGAAAGAAAAGAGGAAGAGATGATCATCATGGTCTGCAGGTCATGTGACTACCATAGGTTTGAAGACCTTATCCTACTGGGCTGAATACACCCATCTTACCTCTTTCCTCTAGTAGTAGATATGGAAGTATGTGCAGATGTAACAGCTTAATGAAAAGAAAAGGTGGTAAGGAAGGACCCCAACTTCTGTAAGATGTCTGGAATGGGATTGGAGGTGCTTATTATGTGTAGACAGGTATATGGTAAGCTGTGACCATGTACCAGGTCCTTCAGATGCATCAAGTAAAAAAAAGATGAGAGCACCACAAAGGTTTCACTAGTCTAGAAACAACCTAATAATTTTTGGTAAAATCAACACATTTTGGGGGTGTAGAAAGGACTCCTGATATCGTAATTATGGTCTGCAGATTATGTGACCACCATGGATTTGAAGACCTTGTTCTGACTGGGCTACCTCCTCCCTGTGATGTCTGATAAACGTACGTGTGTGTGTATTTGTGTGGGATTCACACACACAATGCAAAGGAACAGAGGCCAGTTCTATTTTTGGTGGTGGTTCTAGATATTGGCATGCATCTTTCAGAAATCTGCTTTGCATTAACATTACAGTCCATGATCAAGGAGTAATTTGGAAATTGATCTACCTATGGAGAACATGGCAACTCACAACTCTATGTCTCTGGATTGAGTATTATTTTCTCCAATCAGGGAAAAGGTGTGAGGCAAGAGTTCAAAAATGTCAGTTAGGTGACAGTTGAGTGGAGGTGAGGCTTAGGAACAAGGGGCAGCTGCTACCTTTTCTTGGTAAGATGGGTCCTTCAGACAAAAGATGAGAGCACCACAGTTTCACTGGTCTAGAAACAACCTATTAATTCTTAGTAAAAACAACAAATTTCGGGGGTGAAGAAGGGCCTCCTTCCTCAGGGCTACAAACACAAGATATTGATAAATGCAGTAAGTACATGTATTTTATAGTTGGTAACGCCAGCATTATGATAAAATTAAACACTTTACCCTTAATAAAGTCTTAACACAAAAAAGTGACGCTCAGCTGTGCATGTAATAGGTACGATACATTGGTGAGACACAAGTATTTTTTTTTTATAAAACTGTACTAGAAGCATTTCTTTCAATTTTCCTGTTTTTCCCAAACAAGATTCTATGTGATCCTGGACATCTGGATGGAGAGTGTAGAACATGGGTTCTCAACCTGTGACCCTCCAGCTGTTGCAAAACTACAAGTTCCATCATGCCTTGGCACTGGGAGTCATGCTTGTAACTTTCTGTCTTGCATAGCCTCATGGGACTTGTAGTTCTGCAACAGCTGAAGGGCCACAGGTTGAGCACCCATGGCGTAGAGCAGAGGTGTCAAACTGGTGGCCTTCCAGCTTTCGCGAAACTACAAATCCCATCATGCCTCTGCCTTTGGGAATCATGCTTGTAACTGTCAATCTTGCAATGCCTCATGGGACTTGTAGTTCTGCAACAGCTGAAGGGCCACAGGTGAGCACCCATGGTGTAGAGTGAGGAGGAAACAGCTGACACAAGGGGTCATATAATCCGAGGAATCTGCCTTACAGAGATGTCTGAGATCAGGAAGGGTGGTAGCCATTACTGAGGCATCGACTGGAAAGTAGTCTCACTAGTTTGGGAAGCACAGAAATCAGAGGGGTGTCTGGTGGTGGATTTAAATAGCAGGCAGAGAACCGTGCGACTCTTTGGCTTGGAAAACAATTTTAGGACCCGTCCATTTCTTAGCATTGCTGTAGCACAACAAGGAAGCCGATTAAAAATGAATAAACTCCCAATTCCCCCCCTAACATGCAAAAAAAAAATACTGACCCTTTTTCCAACCACAAACTGGGAGTTGTCACGCACTACAATGCAGGTGAGAAGCGCGGTGTAATAAGTCAAGCTAAGCAATGAGAATTGACCACAACGCATAGTGCACAGAGAGCTAGCCAACAGGGGAAAGTGCAGGACTGACCTCATCAGGGTGTTGCTGTTCCCACACTATCCATTCACAGGATGGGGGCGGTCTTTGACCAAGCTGCATTTCCTAAACTGTAGAAGAAAAAAGGAAGGTCATGGACCCGCCTGTGCTGTCTGCAAGGGGTGCTAGGATTACAAAACCAGCTCCACAGAATTACAGCTTGTTTTGGTGTGGAGGATACTTCTTTCACACTCATTGTTCATATGTCAGCTGCAGTCTAGATGTTTCCATTTAGCTCCACTTTGAATAACTGCACCATCATCACAGAAATAATTACACGTCAGTGGAATGTGCATATATAACCTTCCCTTGTTGTCCTCTCCCCAATCAACATGCAATAACATTTTCAATGACATCTTTTGCTTTTCAAGAAAGACCACTTATAGGGCCAGTGACATCATCACTGTATCTATCTTCTGGTCTTTGCTCTGTACTGGGATGGAGTTTGGTTGGGGGGGTTGACAGGCTCTTGTAGATGTCACAGCAACCTGCTTTGAGTGTTATATGAAAGAACATAACCCCAGCCATCCCTTTAGATGTGCATGTTTCTCTCTGCTGCAACTGGGTGCTATAAACTTTACCTGTGCAATCTGCTGATTAGTTGCTTACTTAAGCTGGAATAGAAAGATAATAAGATTGCACCGTTAATGTCTGCAGTACATATTGTCCAGCAGGAGGGGGAACATGCACACCTAAGGGGATGCCAGAGATGTGATCTTTCATATAATGCTTGGGAACAACAGTACTGTGACTGACACCAACCTCAAAAATTAAACCAACATGTGGAAAACAGCAAAAATGATTGATGGCAGAGAAAGTCACTGACTGGGGAGGGGGGGCAGCAGTACAGATCAGATGATGATGATGGTGATTGAAGCTGTTCAGACAGGAAATGAAGGTAGGCTCAAGATAGCTGCTTCAGCTTCAAAGGGTTATATTGTGGACATCCAAGTTTGCATGGATTTGAGAGAAATCAGTTTCAACACAGGAGAGGATTTGCTACAAGTGGGCGGGGGGGGGGGGGGGGGGTTGGACGACAAAAAAGCAAGGCTGGAGTCCTGCTTTAAGCAAGAAGTCTCCATGTATTTTGTAGCTGTATGCTCTCTTATTCTCAAGGCAGAACAAACACACAAAATACAATACATTCAAGACTTTGTAACGCTACAACCTGATCCTGATGGAAATGGCCAGGATTCAAAAACTCAGAAAATAGTAAAAATACCAAATTTTATGTTTTTTTTTTTTTAAAATTATAATGCCAATAAAACTTTGGATTTAAAATTACTAGGTGTAAAAACTAAAATCACTGAGGTCATCAGTGCTGCCCACTCCTGGTGACTGTGTGTACAGTCATTAGACAGTCCACCAAAACTGGATATTGCCACATGTAATCTAAGGCAGGGGTCTCCAAACTGTGGACCGAGGGCCAGATCCAGCCCTTTGCTAGCCTTTTTCTGGCCCTTGGGGCACTATTCCTCCCAATTATTCCAGGCACTGTTCCTCCACCTTACACCAACAATGGGGCACCATTTCTTCCACAGCTACCAATGATGGGACGCTACTCTTCCTCCAGACCACAAACCCGCCATGTTTATTCTGACTGATGCTGGGATCAGGACATTTCTACCCAGCCCCCAGCCACAATCTGGCCCCCCTAAAGTCTGGAGAACAGTAAACTGGCCCTTTGTTTGAAAAGTTTGGAGACCCCTGCTCTCAGACATTGGTCTCCGAACTCGCCTTTAACCGGCCCTTGGGGAACTATTCCTCCCCACGGTTATAAGTATTCTGCACACTGACTCCAACAATGGGGTATAATTCATGCCACGGGCATCAATAATGGGGCACTATTTCTCCTACTAATACCAAAGATGGGGCACTATTTCTCCCACTGATACTAGGAAAAGGTCTACTCCTGCTGGCCAGTCTGCCCCCCTAAGGTCTGAAGGACAGTAAACTAGCCCTTTGTTTGGAGACCCCTGATCTAAGGATTTTGCTCTCAGGAGCTCTATTGGTGAGATGTTTTGCACTGAGCTCCTGATGTTGCTCATCTGCTGTGGACCTCACGGGGATTCCCACCATCCTGTTAAAGGTTTATATTAGTTCTACATTGCGATGAGCAGGAACACCTCAAAGAACTTTGGTTGAGATTGTACGTCACTCCTGGTGAACTAACCCAGTCACTAATTTAGCCCATCAGACAGTCCCCACAGAACTATCATTTTTTGGGTTGACCTGACAGACAGCACGCATTTAAAGTTTGGTAAGCTTAGAGGCAACCATGAAAAAGCAGCAGACCAGAATTATTTATTACAGTTATTTACTGCATGTAGCGCCAACAATTTAAGCCACACATTACATACAGTACAGTTACATTGGTCCCTGCCCCCAAGGAGCGTACAATCGAAGGTCCCCATCTCACATACACATACTGGGGCCAATTTGGACAGGAGTCCATTATGTGTACCAACATGTTTTTGGAGTGTGGGATGAAACCTGAGTACCTAGAGAAAACCAAAGAAAGCACAGAGAGGGCAAACACTCCATGCAGATAGTGTCCTGGCCTGGGTTGAAACCGGGAACCCTAGGCCCTCAAGGCAGAAGTGTCACCAATAATACACTGTTTTGATGTGGAGTCTATGATGGAAAGTGTAGAGGGCAGTAATATACGACAAACTGCATTAGTCTCTAGTGCAAACATGGTGGAAAAGTGTGACCTGTGGGAAATAAAACCAGTTTGAGTCTGGCATCACTCCACTCCCTGCGACTACACATTGCTCCCAGTGTTTTTCAGGCACCAACTGTATCCGTTCTCAAACAGCCGCATCCATGGTGAGACACTAAGCGACCGACTCCAATCTTCTGGCATCCAGGGCCACTGCCAGGTCAGGACACAGCGTTCTGGGTGGGGCATCATGGCAAGGTGGCGTCCATCCTCAGAGCAGAGTCCAGCAATGCCCAACGGAGAGCCATTGGGATTCATGGGGTACTCTTCTGTGGGCAGGTCCTGGTCATCGACATAGCGGAGAGAAGCTAGGTGGTGGGAGGTCACATGATCCAAAACCGCCTGAGACTGGAACCTCATCAGACCTGGAAGAAGGGAAAGGGAGGAAGTCAAGTAAGACATATACTCCTGTGGACTTCAGGTAGTAGATTTCAGAGGCCCATGTTATTATGATATGTGGGGGACACCGAGCAGGCGTTTTGGACATCAGGGCATACTATACAAGCATGATCAATGTCATCTGTAGGCCCAGGATCAGAGCTAAGAGATAATGACACCACTGTGCCCTCCACATGTAGCAAGCTGTCCACAAGGTCAAAGCTTGGCATCCACCACACCAGCTATGTCTGCGACATCACCCCCTTCAAATCCTCCACACTATCATTCCAAACACTTCGGAATCAGGAGACCAAATCCATTATACACTACACATGCAGGAAGCCTGGAAAGCTCTTGTAGATATGTGACATCCACTGCCTGCTATCAGAGAACCCAAGTGCCCAATAATGCGCTCTTATTGGCTGGCAGGAGATGAGACGCTCCAAAGTTTCCAGAGAAACATACACCCCACCACGGCAACCTATATACCACACCAATACAATAATAAAGATACCTATATCACCACCAGAGGTACCTAAAGATCACTAGTATCCCACCAGAGCATCCTAAGCCACCAATAGAGCTACCTAAACACAACCAGTACCTCAGAGTGACCTATACTCCTCCAGAGCAACCAATACCCCAACAGAGCTACCAATACCCTACCAATACCATACCAGAGAGGCCTATATTTTTGCCAAAGCTACCTATACCCAACCAGTACCCAGCCAGAGTGACCAATACCCCAAAAGAACTATCTATACATCAATAGAATTACATACAGTATACCCTACCAATACCCCTCAATACCATACTAGAGTGACATACTTCTGCCAAAGCTACCTATACCCAACCAGTATCCCACCAGAGTGACCAATATCCCAAAAGAAATATCTATACATCAATAGAACTACATATACCCTACCACATATAACAATAACCCATTAGATCACCCATTACTTCCAATAGAGTACCTCACATCCCTCATTAACTTGATACAATGCATGAAGTCTTTACCTTCTCCGTGAGCCACCCAGACCCCCAGTGACGAGCCGGACATCCCCTGTAGCAGGATAGATGGACTCTCTTCAATTTTCACAGTAACAAAACGGGACTCGAAGCGTCCAGAGAGGTTGTGGCTGAGTAGTACGCCTTGTCTGGGGCCCTGCCCTGCTGGATGCAAAGATCATGTCAACTGAGAGCATGGAAGGCACATGTAACATGTAATATGACCGAATACAAAGACAGAGATGTGCTGTCCTACCTGGGATAAACAGCCAGAACTTTGGAGTGAATTCCTGGCACACAGAAATACATAGAGCTATTTATGAAATGTCCCCTGGAGTTCTGGTTTTACCCACCTGCCTTTGTTGGGTTCTCAGGGCCAACCCAGCCCAGGAGAGCCATAAGCTGGCAGCCATTGCAGATTCCCAGACTGAACGTGTATCCGATCGAAGGCGGAACGCTTCAAACTGCTCGCGAACACCAGCATTGAACTTCACAGATGCTGCCCAGCCTGGAACAAAGAAATATAATGATACTGTACAAGCTCCAAACAACATTTCTACATCAACATCACTGAAGTCACAAGAAACAATTCTTAAAGTTGTTACGTTTTATGATGCTATGGGGGGAATTAAGGTGGTGCAAGAATAATTGCTTCTAAATGAGGGAAACAGAGCAGATTCTCTCAATTAACAAAAGGGGTGCAAGACTGAAGACATCATCTCAGCTTAGGCAATGTCAGTGACTTGGGCTTAAGGATGGCGTTTTAATGCTAAAATATGGAGCTTTTCTGATAAATGATACAGTTGCTGTATATTGAGACGTGTCAGAAATGTCATCATGCAGACTTGTACTAGTACAACTCCCACTAGACTGGTCGGAATAAAATTGATGGACTGTGTATGCCTGACTGACCTTTGTCAGGTTCAAGGGTTTCCTACACCTACAGATTTTCCCACATAATCCCCCCCCCCCCCGAATATTTAGGCATGTTGCAGAATATCAGGTGGACTTTTACCTTTCGCAGAGCCGAGAACGTCAGCATAGCTGAACCCCCCAACAAACACCAGACCCCGGAAGATGTCCAGTGTGCAGCTTCCTGATAGAAGATCTTCCATGGTGACATCCCAGACCTGGAAATGAGAAGATGACAATGAGAGATCAGAGTTACAGGAGACACAGAATGCCAAGCGTCTGATTGGACCTTGCCATTACCTCAAACCCAGCCATCAAAAGTGCAGCCACCATTTCTCGGTCGCCATTACTGCCCTCTTCACGCACAACAGCTATCCGTGGATGGGTGGATCCTGAGAAGATAACAGCACATATAGACAATGCAGAATCAAAATAAATGGATGGCTTAGTCCCTATGCACATACCAGCTTCAGCTATCAGAGGGAGCTTTTCACTGGGGTTAAAGGTCAGCTGATACTTGGGTCCTTCTCGTCGGATAAGTCCCGCCTCCTCCTGAGACACAAAGCTGGGATTGGCTTGTAGACGCTCCAGTTGGAAGCTGGTCTCTTCCCACACGGCCCTCAGTGTCCCCCACCTCCTCCCGAAGCACTTCCACCCCGTTCACACAAACTCTGACCTGGGAAAAATGATAATAAAATGATTTATATATCGGCCTTGTACAGGTCCCTGAAAACGCACTACTACCATTCAGGAAGTAAGAGAACTCTAGCCGTAGGTAGGTGACGTCTACCATGAAAGGTCATTTTTAGGTTCTGTGTCAATGGCTTCAGTAAGCATATAAACAAAGTCACACACTGCGGTACCAGAAAGCTAAAATCGTTTTGTTCTAGTTCATTGGAGGACATTCCATACCAGCACCTCTTTAGGACACATTTTGCCCCATACTGGGGCTTAATGGTAGAAACATATGATTAAGCCCTAGTAGGGGGCAAAATGGAATGTTGTTTGATGATCTGGGACTATAAAGAGGAGTTTGGCTTTCCAGTACATCAGTATGTGTGGCTTCTTTCATACACAGATTTATGTGGGAGGCAACACTTGCCAGAGAAAGAGTAAATCTATAGCTGGTATATGAAAGTAGTTCTACAGACCCAAGTTTTTTGTTTTTTTTTTACCTCAATGCAATCTATTCACTAAGGTAAAAAACCTTTCGAGGAGAAGCTCTCCCCCATCCCAACTCTCTGTTATATTGACCTGAGTCCCATCTTAATCCAACGATGAACATGAATGCAGTGGCTCTCCCGGGTCGCTCTCTCTCCATTGGCTAACACAGCAGAGGGAGCCATGGACTCCTGCTGCTGTCAATCACAGCCAGTAAGCCAATAAGGAGTGAGCAGGGGGGTGGGGCTGATCCTGCGCTCTGTGTGTGAATGGACACCCATAGCATAGCTTGAGAGCGAGCCTGCTTGAGTGCCCCCAAAGCAAAAGGTTTGCGTTAGGGGCACTCGGTAGGGTGGAGGAGCCAGGATCCCTGGTGGGGGAGGAGCTAGGACCGCCGGCGGGGGACTCAAAAAGAAGAAGATCAGGACTGTCTGTGCAAAACTACTGCGCAGAGCAGACAAGTATGACATGTTTGATATATATATATTGTTTAATTGCAACCATTAGAGTCACTTTAAGGGTACGACTGGGGCTCTTGTAAATGTTTTTTTCCTGGTAGAAGAGCAGCTTCAAAAACATCCCTAAGCCATGTGTTTGCAAACACGTTTAGGCGAGTCAAATGCTTGGGTGTTCATTCATTATTTATATAATTTATTTTGACCACTGAAATGAAAAATACTGAAGCACTAAACATGTACTGATCACATGACTACTTAGCCACAGTCCAATCCTGAGACTGGCGGGGAAGGCAATAAAAAACACTCAGAAGTTTCTACCAATGTCACAGATCCAAGAAGAGCTTCATCTTCATGCAAACCTCATACTTGTTCCAGGGCTGTAGGAGAGGATACAGGGATGATTGGCATCCCTCGCCAATACCCACCAGAAGCCGCCATCACTCACACTGCAGAGGACTGGATGGGAGCATGGCAGATGTATTCTGACTCTGAGACTAATGCAGGCCATAGACGGGGGAGAAAAACGGCCGATTTTTCTTTAAAAAAACGAAAAATCGGTCGTTCAAGCGGCCGACGTTTCATAACGGGGAGCGGCCGATTTTTCTTTAAAAAAACGAAAAACGTTCAAGCGGCCGAGCAATGGTAAAAAAAAAAAATTGGCCGATTTTCATCCCGTCTACAGCCGGCAAAAAGTGTCCCTGCAGAGAGCTCTGCTATTTCTTTGACAGTCTTCCTTGACATTTACAGCGGTTGCAACATTGTATCTATTTGTATCCATTTAGGATACAGATGTTTTTATTCGGAGACAAATAGATACATTGTTGCAACCGCTGTAAATGTCAAGGAACTGTCAAACAAATAGCGGAGCTCTCTGCAGGGACACTTTTTTGCAGGACTGGAATTCCTCTTATTTTTCATCCTTCTTCTTCTTCTTCATCATCATCCTCATCTTCTTCTTCGTCATCATCCTCATCTTCTTCGTCATCATCCTCTTCTTCTTCGTCATCATCCTCTTCTTCTTCGTCATCATCCTCTTCTTCTTCTTCGTCATCATCCTCTTCTTCTTCATCATCATCCTCTTCTTCTTCTTCGTCATCATCCTCTTCTTCTTCTTCGTCATCATTATCCTCTTCATCTTCTTCTTCTATCTTCTTCTTCTATCTTCTTTTTGTCTTCCTCTTGCAGGTCACGGCTCATGCACAGATTTTTTATCGGTAAAAAATCGGCCGATTTGCCCATCATTGCCGAAATCGGAAAAACCCGATCGGCAAAATCGGCCGATTTTTTTTCCAACTTTACCGATAAAAAAAATCTGCCAAAATACCGAAAAATGGCCGAACAAATAGCCCACTAACGATCCGAAAATCGTCCGATTTTATTTTCGGCCGAAAAATCGGCCGATTTTCGACCCATCTATGGCCTGCATAAGGGTGCACCATGCCTCAATGTCCTGTATCTACCATGTCAGAAGAAGACACACAAAGACTGTGGTAGGACAGATCTGATTCCATGCCCGGTGTCTGTTACAGGAAGGGTGCTGTTTCCCGGGGGGACTGGCAGGATCAATGGGTGTTTTAGAACTGTGGAAAATAAAACACTTACTGAAGGCAGACATTGGGGCTGATTGAATAAAACTGGAGAGTGCAAAATTGGGTGCAGCTCTGCTTAGTAATCCAATCAGGTTTTTTTTTTGGCAACGCTTAATTCAACAAACTGAAGCTAGAAGTTGGATGGCTACCATGAACAGCTGCACCAGATTCTGCACTCTCCAGTTTTAGTAAGTCTCCCCCATTGTTGAGGGATTTAACAGGCCTTCCTAAAAAGAGTAATCAACTTTACATAGTTATGATGATCAACTTACACTTCAGTACTAATTATACATATTATATCCATATATCACACGTTCTAGATCCCTCTCCCCATGCTCAATAAATTTGCTGGTAAGAAAGTTTGAATTAATGTCTTACTTATAGGAAATGCACAATGGTGGACACACACTACCGGCCACTTTTTTAGGTACACCTGTTGCTTGGTAACCCAAATGCTACTCAGCCGATCACATGGCAGCAACTCAATGCATTTAGACATCTAGACGTGGTGAAGACAACTTGCTGAAATTAAAACCGAGCATCAGAATGGGGAAGAAAAGGGGATTTAAGTGACTTCGAATGTGACATGGTTGTTGGTGCCAGACGGGCTGGTCTGAGTATTTCAAAAACTGTTGACCTGCTGGGAGTTTCACACACAACCATCTCTGAGGTTTACAGAGAACGGTCCGAAAAGTAGAAAATATCCAGTGAGAGGCAGTTGTGTGGAGGAAAATGCCTTGTTGATGTCAGAGGTCAGAGGAGAATGGGCAGACTGGTTGGAGATGATAGAAAGGCAACAGTAACTCATGTCTATATGGACCAGAATCTCTAAAAACTGTTTCCAACACCTTGTTGAATCTATGCCACCAAGAATGAAAGCAGTTCTGAAAACAAAAGGAGGTCCAACCTGATACTAGCAAGGTGTACCTAATAAAGTGGCCGGTGAGTGTAAATGTGGGCTGAACTAGGGCCGTCAGTGCTCTGCAAACTACACCCACCAGTATAATATCTGCCAATCAATGGCTGCGAGACATGCTCTGAAGAGATCGCACACCCCCACCTACAGAAGGAAGTGCAACTCCTTCATTAAACTTCATGTAGGAGGTCGTAAGACCGAGAGCCAATTCTCCATAGGGAAAAAAAAAGCAGCACCCGGTTGTATAAAAACAGAGCTACCTTGAAACAGGAGGGGGAATAAGGGGCATGTTGGGAGGGGTAATATAAGAACGGGAGACCACAATTTAAAAAACAGAAGAGTAATATTTATCCTGGCTGGAGTTCAGCTTTAAAACATTGGGAAGTTCAATGAGCCCATATCCCTCCCAAAAGACTTACAATGGAAGTAGGTCCTCTCCCATGGGCGCGTCCAATCTTTACACACTGCAGTCCAGACACTCGGTACTGCTCTATAACACGTTCATGTTCCGCCTCCGGGACTTCCAGTACCAGCCCCAATTCCTCTGCGAATAACAGGTCCAGTACTGGAGAGAAACGAGGGATAAAATGAGCATTGGTAAAGGTAGGTTAATGTTAGTGACAGCCATAAAGGGACCCCTCAGAACCCAAGAGATCAAACCCATGAAGTCCGTGTGACAGACTGGAGAACATGCAAGGAATAGAGCGCCATAAAGTTAGGAAGGGATAAAAATTAGCCATGAACAAGTGCTAGGCCCAGAGATAATCCCTACAGAGGTGGAATGTTGGTGCTCTGGCTCTGTGTGTCTTCCCAGCACAGATAAAACTGAATAATGAGGATTGGTATAGCCAGCACTCGTCTTCCTGAATAGAGAACTTTATTGAAAAAATAAAATGTGCATAAAAATGGATTACGCGTTTCGGGTAAGCCATAAGGTACAAGACAGGACATTACATATATATACCAAATAAATTAATCTAAAAAAAGAGACTCCTTCTCATACCCATCAGGCAATTGAATAGATTAATTAGCCAATTAGTGGCATGCGCCATGAAATAACCTTGATGTGTGAAGAGATTCACAACAGAAAAACTTTCAGGGATGAAAATTAGGTCTAAGCCACCAAACTAGTGAGAGGGAGAGTTGGCCAAGGGACTGAGGACAATAAGTGAGCATCCTGGCACTGGCTTTGTTGGGGGACACTGAAGCCAGCAGTAGAATCTGTAGAATTTTCTAGGTTAATGTTACACAAGATGTGGGAGTACAAAGAGCAACACTTCCCTACCGCTAACGTCTGGGGAAGAGAATTCAACATCCAGTCCACAGTTCCCAGCGAACGCCATCTCCAGGAGACACGTGATGAGACCGCCATCACTGACATCATGTCCCGCACTCAGGAGGCGATCTGAGAATGAAAGAAAAGGAGTGTCAGGAGGAGAACAATTGGAGGGAGAAACCGCAAAATATATGCCAGATACTACAAGAAAAAGGTAAATGCAGTACAATAAAACTCATATATAATTGTATGTGCTCTTTATGTATGATAGGGCGACACTGGAGAAGGAAAATGGTAGAAAACGCACCTCTAAGAAGCTTCTGAGTGACCTGGAAGCAGGACACCAATGTCTGGGGGTCATCCAGATCTGGAGAGTGTTCTCCCAGCTGTGAATAGCACTGTGCTATGGCACTTCCACCCAACCGGTGCCGACCGGGACTAATGGGAACATACAAGAGGATGCCTGGAACCAGAATGGAAAAACAAAAGCATGGGGCCACTATTATACCAAAATGGTCACCAACACACCAAGTCAAGAGAAAAAGAAAATTCTCAGACTACCCAAAGTCATGCTGTACATTTTGTTACTGACCACCAATGATGAGGGCTGGGGTTCTTGCTACAGCTGACAAAGCCTGTTACTGAAAACCAATGAGGGTTGGGGTTCTTGTTACAGCCTAAGCTGGTTACTGACCACCAATGATGAGGGTTGGGGTTCTTGTTACAGCCTAAGCTTGTTACTAACCTTTATGCAATGATGAGGGTTGGGGTTCTTGTTACAGCCTAAGCCTGCTACTGACCACCAATGATGAGGGTTGGGGTTCTTGTTACAGCCTAAGCCTGCTACTGACCACCAATGATGAGGGTTGGGGTTCTTGTTACAGCCTAAGCCTGCTACTGACCACCAATGATGAGGGTTGGGGTTCTTGTTACAGCTAAAGACTGTTAGTGACCAACAACACCCCCTCCCTCCTAGATTGTAAGCTCGTAAGAGTAGGGCCCTCTTACCCTCGTACATTGTTTTGTTCTTGTTGGTACTGTGCCATGTATTGTCCCCCCTATTGTACAGCGCTGAGCAAACCTTTGGCGCTATATAAACTCGTAGTAATAATAATAATAATGATGGGGGTGGGTAGACCGATGCCATTCACATGACTAAATGCAAGAGCACTAGTCTGGTGATGTCAGATAAAAGGGCTTGTGGGAACACAGCTCAGTCTATGCCTGTACCTGGAATCTGATGCCCTTCTGTAGAGATTACATTTCCAATGCTTCAACATTTTCACCAGCAGCAGAACAGAAGAGTCCGGGGGGGTGAGGTTAAGGTTAATTATTTAAGACTTGGTTGCACCTTGTATATGCCTTTCCTGCAGCAAGAATAACCCAGCTTGTAAGACCCTAGGTTGACGAACAGAAGCAACTAGATGTCTAGACTTACTGCCCATGCCAGGGTTCTTCAGGTCCGGGGTGATGGTGGCAGTAATATCCGGACACACAGCATACACCGAGATCACCAAGAGACCCTGAAATAAGACAAGTGATTAGAGAGGAGGATGTAAGAGATACATAGAACAAAATAGGACAAGGGTCCTCCTATCCTTGTACTTACCTGGAGCCTTCACAGTTTCTGAGCCAACTCTGGCTGCCATGCTGAGAGAATCCTTCCCTCCATCTACAGCTATGCCAACCTGAGCCATCACATCACACATGGCCACACAGGCATCATACAGGGCGGCACCCTCCCCTGGCAGCTTGGCAGCCCACATCCAGTTCCCGCTGCATTTTACATCCTGCAAGGTATATGGTAAGATGAATGGAGAAGCGCTGTGTATTTCCAGTGCTTGTGTACTGTCTCAATATTTAGAATTAGGAATTACCTTCAAGTCAGTGACAAGGGCAAACACAAGATTGGTCAGCGCCTCCCCCACGGCCATCCGGGCCCCAGCCGCTGGGTTCAGTAGACCTTTAATTGGCTGCTCTCCAATGGCTGTGGCTCCTCCCACAGTGTCAGTATAGGACAGTGCAACCACCGCCACATCAGCCAATGGGGTATGGAGGGGACCTACGCACTGCTGCTGAGCCACGAGACCGGTGACGGAGCGATCCACCTGCAGATGGAGACAGAGTGTGAGAAATAATTACGCAGGAACTACTGACCGGATATCCAATCAGAGAAGGTCTCTGGTGAGGGAGTCACCTTATTGGTCAGATATCTCTTGCTGGCCACGGATGGCAGTCGGAGAACCCGATCCAAGGCTTGCCTGACAGTGAGACCACCAGGGAGCGTCAAAGGTTGGAGTTCAGGCGCAACTCTGTTTAACACAAAACCCTGAAATATAGAAGAGAAACTTTGGAGAACAGTAAATGGGAACTCCGCTGAACTTTCCTCAAACTCCACATTCTATATACCAACACTGTTATGTGGAAAAAAAATCTGTATCTGGTTGCAAAGAGAAAAATTGGAATTTAAGCCTCTGTGTTTGGCCAATCCTTGTCAGCCTACCAAGAAGGAAAGTCTCCCTGCAGACACGAAGCAAAAACTGAACTGTCCATGAGAAATGTACGGCCAAGGTGGAGGAACATCTTTTTGGTATCCAACCTCATGTAAACAATTGTGAATTGACTTTATAACTGGTTTAAAAGATCATCTCTTATTTTGTTGCTTCTTTTATTTATTAACATGTGACTGATGTGTTTACAGTAAACAATCAGTACAGTTTTGTCTTCAAACAAAAAGATACATTTGCTCATTATAGTGAGAGGGGATAATCTGTACCTTACGAGGCATTTTGCCCAGCACCCACTCCAGCTCCAGGTCCACTGGCACAGAATTTCGGTTGCTGTGATCAGGTTTCGGATCTTCCTCTCTTCCGTTCACCAACACAATCTGCACAATTGCAAAGGGAAGAAATTCAGTGACAGCGCTATCTGAAGTAGGTACAGCCAGGCACTGTGGTGACTTAAGTACTTACCCTGCCATCCCCTGTGATCCTCCCAACAAAGTCTACAGGGGACCTCTCCCTGCGGCACACCGAACGTAGGAACTCTGCATCAGCTGGGCGGAGGAGCAAGGCATTGGATTCTTGGTACTCTGCACCCCAAATCTCCAGGACACTTAGGGTGGGGTCCCCTAACTGCAGAAAAAGTGGAAAACTGATGATGGGAAGCACAGATTTGTTTCATATTGCAAAGCTGTCAAAATAAAGCAACCCTGTCACTAGGATTAAAAAAAAAAAAATGGCTGGCTGTCACAGTGCATTGCAAATTGTTTATATACCTGCTGGCTACAGCTGTCACAGTGTGAGTTGCACATTGTTTACAAATAAACCTGCTGGCTGCAGCTGTCAGTGCATTGCACATTGTTTAAACCTGCTGGCTGCAGCTGTCAATGCATTGCACATTGTTTACAAACCTGCTGGCTGCAGCTGTCAGTGCATTGCACATTGTTTACAAACCTGCTGGCTGCAGCTGTCACAGTGCATTGCACATTGTTTATATACCTGCTGGCTGCAGCTGTCACAGTGCATTGCACATTGTTTAATACCTGCTGGCTGCTGTCACAGTGCATTGCACATTGCTGCTGGCTGCAGCTGTCAGTGCATTGCACATTGTTTACAAACCTGCTGGCTGCAGCATTGTCACAGTGCATTGCACATTGTTTATAAACCTGCTGGCTGCAGCTGCATTGCATTGTCACAGTGCGTTGCACATTGTTTATATACCTGCTGGCTGCAGCTGTCACAGTGCATTGCACATTGTTTATATACCTGCTGGCTGCAGCTGTCACAGTGCATTGCACATTGTTTATATACCTGCTGGCTGCAGCTGTCACAGTGCATTGCACATTGTTTATATACCTGCTGGCTGCAGCTGTCACAGTGCGTTGCACATTGTTTACAAACCAGCTGGCTGCAGCTGTCACAGTGCGTTGCACATTGTTAATTACAATTGTACTTAATTTATAATTTAAGGTCTCTTTTGGAAACATTTCTCAACACATAAAGCCTGAAAATCCTGGGTTGTATTCAATTACAGCTTATATAAGCAGCACAGTAAGACAACGCAACCAGATTCCAGTGTACAGTAGCCTACCTAGTAGCACGTGGAATCCGATCCGTTCTGCAGCATGAAGATAAAGTAAGAAAAGGGCCTCAGGGAAGGGAAGGTAAGTGGGATGAGTAGTGAGTGGTTACTGGTTCATGCAGCCTGCAGAAAGGGTAAGGGTAGTGGATGGTATGGGGAGGAAAATGGTATTAGCGATGGACAAATATTGGTTTCTGGTGCCAAGGTGGAATAAGTAAGGGACAATCACGGATTCCTTCCCCAGGGTAAAAGGTGAAAGAAGGACTCGGGTATTGGAAAATTTTGGGGGGATAAGTAAGATACAGCTACCATTGCCTGCAGAAAGGTAAAGGGCATAATAAGGATTCAGAGAATGGAAGTTAGGTAGGAATAAAGTAAGTAAGGGACAGTCATTTATTTCTGCAGCCAGGGTAAGGGATGAAGGAGGGACTCAGGTATGGGAAAGATGGGGGATAAGAAAGGCACAGTTACTGGTTACTGTATCCAAAGTAAAAGGCATAAGAAGGATTCAGGGAATGGAAGGTAAGAAGGATAAGGAACAGTCATTGATTCCTGCAGCCAGGGCAGGGAGCGAAGGAAGGACTTGAGTATGGGAAGGTAGGTGCGTTTAGTAAGGGACAGTCAGGTTTGCACCTACCTGAAAGGTTTTGGTGTAGATGATAGCTCCTTCAGGTCATGAATTCACTAAGCTCCTTCAGGACATTACCTGCAGAGAGGACTGGAGGAGAAAGTCAGGATGGAGGTTTTACTAATAGAAGTAACAGGGAAAAGATGTGGGTCTCACCGTTCCCTCCTGCCCCCTGGTCATGAATACTGCACACAGGATTCTTCTCTCCTCTCTCTACACAAGCCCGAACCGCCCGATTCATCTTCTGCTCCATCTCTGCATCTCCTCGCTGCACTGCTCCAAAGTCCAGATCGCTGGCATTGTCCCCCTGAATCTCCGGCACATGCCTGGAGGATGGTGAAATTCAAAAAACAATGTGTGTCTCCATCTTCTCATGAATAACTCCTCAATAACAGTACATTCGGTGTAGGGCTCTAGAGGCTGTCCTCACCTGAATAGAAGAGGCTGCTCCACCATAGGAGACCTACACCAACTGTCCTGCTCCCCTACGTTCGTCACGCTGCCCCGCCTACACACATCCTGACAGCCATCTGACAGTATCATCGGATTTCCGCCGGGCCACGTAGTTTGCCCATTGCTGCTCTAGAGGCTATTCCTGAATAGAAGAGGGAACAGTACACCGGACCTCCAACATACTAAAGGAACAGATATTACAGGATATTGAGACATTCAACGCTGTATTCAATAACAGATTAAATCAGTGGCTGCTGTTTTGTTTGCAAAAAGAGTTTTTTTTAAAGGTAGGTAATGGCTTTTTAGTATGGATTAGAAATTTCTGCTTAAACTTTTTTTTCCCCAAAAGTCTAGTTTTTCAGATAAATCTTCGACCTGCTCTTCACATCAGAACCCTCACCTGATTTCGGCTTCTCCTTCTTTTGGTGAATGTCCTCCATGGAGCCAATGCCACCACTGAACATGATGGGTTTCACCCACTCCCTCCTCTCCCTGGAGGACAGGCGCAGGCCGAAGGAACGGGCAAACCCTGCAGACGGGTGACAGAGGATGGATTTAGCTCACCAGTGAGGATTTGTGTACACAATGCCATACACACAACATGGCTCACCTGTTAGCACCGGTTCTCCAAACTTGTTGCCGTAATCAGAGGCTCCATTGCTGGCTTCAATGGCTACTTCTAGAGGCCGGGCAAACTGGACCGGGGTACTGATAGGAGTCATCCTCCCAGGGAAGGGGGTAACCTGGGTGGAGGTGGACAAGAATCAGTGAGTGAAGAAAAAGACAGCCGTGCAAGGGGAGAAGACTGGCCATGTACAGCCAACTTACCTGGAATGTGCAGGTTACCAAAGCAGTATCCGGCAGTGCCTGCTATGACATGAGCGCCCTTCCCTGTGCACTGCACATCCCTAATACGCCCGCCTGTGCCCGTGGTGGCACCACTGAATGGAGCTACACCTGAAAGAGTGGAGAAGTCACATGACCATTAGTTTTATAACAGACATGTCACATGACCCTCAGTCTAACAATAGGGTGGTGCAGAAGCATAGACTTGTCACATGACCCTTTGCCTTCTGACAGGTTGGTACAGGGTCATAGTCATGCATGGGTCTCACCTGTTGGGAAGTTGTGGGTCTCAGCAGTGAAGATGAGGTGCCGGGTGGAGTCATGCAGGTGATAGCGGCTGGCACATGATGGGTCATCAGGGATCAGACTTTTTACCTCTCTTCCCTGGATTGCACTGGGATAAAAGGCCAAAAATCGTACTTCTAATAAATGCATTCAATTCCTTTCTTCATGAGCGTGACTAGATAACTATATCCAATTAGTTCAGATGTGACCATGTAAAGCAGCAAACCTCTAATCACAATACCTGCTGTTATCACAGAATTTGATGACATTGTTGGGGTTACTGGTGTCTGTGTCTTCATGATCATATCAAACAGAGAATGAGCCTTCTCCTCTCCATCTATCACCAACCGACCCTTGAAGAACCAATGTCTGCTGTGCTCACTGCAGAGGAAGAAGGGAAGAGATCATAATAGG